CGTGGAATTAATATATCTATGGTGCGCTCTCACAAGCAAGACGACGCTCACGGCAGCTCACAAAGAACTTTATAAGCGGTAAATTCTACATGCCGTAATCATGAAGAGTGAGAAGTTGTGGCCCACGCTGGTGCAGCTCGAGGCAATGTGGTGTGTCGCTGATCGATAGCCTGACGGATAAATATATCTCGACGCATGAAAGGCATCGTATTTGCCTTTTCGTTCAGCCTAAACATTGTAATAGCATCAGCATGTGTTGCTTTCCAAGACACTTCCGGTCCCTTGATTTTGTCACTCTCTAACACCGCACCAAAAAGCTTTTTTTTTTATGTGGTAGAGTAGAGAAAAACTTTTGCCGCGTTCAGGTAAAAAAAAAAGGCGCTTGAAGTTAAGGCCTGACTCTTGTGATGTTGTCTGTAGCTTAGGAGAAAATATATATGAAATATCTGGCCAGTAATAGGGAGAAAATTGTAGGAAATTAGCGGGATAGTCGCTAAGGCTTTCGTTCCCCCTAGTGGTACTATAGATAGGCTGCGCCGGCGCACAAATTTAGAAGCCGCCCAAGACCTGTTTGTAAACAGTATAAGGGCCAATACAATCTACCAATAAACGTCACGTTAAGAAAGCTGTTCCGTTTGTTAGAGCATTATGCGAAAGGTAGCAGTCTATCAAGGGTACACTTGGTTTTCTTTTCACTGCTACGTATGACGCAAACAACGCGTCCCAGGCGTGAGCGCAGTAGCAAAGACCACGCGGGTTTGTAAGCAAAGCACAGCCGCGCCCGCTTCGCAGGTGCGTAATGAGTGCGAATGGCGTTGGAGGCGGGAGCAAGACGAACATTGTGGCCTCGATTCGGTGAGTGGCAGTGAAAGAGAGGGAGAGCCGTTACAAAGATCAAAGACGCAAAAAGAGCGCGTTACATGCAGGGCAAAGTTATTTGGGCTGTTTTTCTGCAGCGGCATCACATCGAAGAGTCAACGTTACTAGATTAGCTATCTAGTAACGTTGTCGAAGAGTGTTGGTCTGAGCGAAAGACCCGTTGTGAAATTGACACTGTTCCGGCAGATATCTCGATAAATACATGAACACAGCAGTGGTACGAGACCCTTGAGGAAGTCTGCAACTTATCTAAGAAGGCTGCAAATTTAATTAGGGGGTGCACTTGGGCAAACTTCCGCCACGCACGCACGACGACGCTTCTGCGAGGCCTCGTGCTCTCGCACATGTGACGTGCGGCTCGTGCCTCTCCGAGGGTCGTATAGGGCCTTGGCCGCGTTACCTCCCCCGACCTGCATTAGAGAGCAAAGGCGCCGCGGAAAAGTCCCCGCAGCTTAAAATAATAAGATACCTAAGCCATGATTTCAAGCGAGCTAGGTAGCTGGAGAAACAAGGACCAGGAGCAATTACTTATTCGGAACCAAATGCTTCTATAGGAACAAAAAAAGAGCAAAATACGTTCTTACAAGTACGTGATCTTGATGCCTGCCTGCGGGATGTCATATAAGCTTATAGATATTTGCTGCGTGGGCTGTTTAATATTTCAGTACATCACTATATCTCTATATATTTCTTTGTTGTTGGATTTCACTGAGGCAAAGTACTTTTCGTACAATTTTAACTTCTGTTCATTTCGTATTGCTTCAACCTATACACAGGTCGTCAAAAAATGTGCAGCTTACTGAGACTCGCTTATCCAATATATTCTGCCCTTGGGACTCACAAGGACTGAGATTCATCAAAGTTTTGCTCAACCGGATTCACTCGGACTCAAAGACATCCAAAATATTACTCGCTTGGACTCACTTCGACTCATACTAACGGCTCTCTCAGAGTTTATGTTAGCTTGAGTGAGCCAACTCACGAGTCCTTTAGTGAACAATTTGCTTTTACTAACATGGTGTCAAAGTCACTTAACACTAATATCTCGCGTAATCAGTGCTATCTTTGTACATCTTGATATCGTACCTTCAAATGTGACGTATAAGTTGCTGCAATTCAGTAAGAGCATTTTATTGCAAAGGATGACTGACATTAGATTTTTTATCAAGAATTTTCGAGAAACAGTTTCCGGATGGGGAGGGGAGCGGGAAGCACAACATACCCTACCTCTGGTGGGGTATTTCACGCCTTTGGTCAATAAGTATTAAGCTGGCGTATGAACGCTGGTGCCTTTATGTGTGAGTCGGCATGAGTTTAAACACGAGCCTATATGTAAGGCCGATAGTAATGCTGAAGTGGATTAAATATATTGTTACGCTTTCAGCTCCGCAACAAAAACGTCCCACGTCGTTAGTGTGTCCTCGTGGTTTTCGTACCACACAAGCGCAGTATCCGTAAGGCAAAAGACCGCAGTGCTGAGCTGAGCGGCGGCATCCCAGCCGTTGGACTTGCTGATTCGCTTGTACTAGACGAGCCATGTGTCGACATCTTCTCCCGATTTTCCTCCGAAGGTTGGTGGGGTTCTGTAGTAGGGCAAGGAACCCATTGGAGTTGGCCTTGAAGCGTTAGATGGCTGATCTTGCGCCATTACGATCGGCGCAGGCGGGAGTCCAGCAAGGCGGCGACTGCGGCGATGTCCTGCAATGAAGCCCCCGTCGTTGGGTTTGTCTTACCCAGCACTTTCACGAATCTGTTACGCACAAGGAGGACCAGGACGTATACGGCTGAAGGGGCCGTTTATTTTGGTCGCGAAGAGAAGCGCTGGAGCGGCCAAATAGTTGATGATCCCAGTGTCGTCGTCTTCCTTCTTCCTCCAGCTTGGGGCAGCCAGCATGTTTAGCCATCTTCGTTTTCTTCCCAGGCATGCGCAACAATATTATATCAATGTTTTTCAAGACTAATACTTAGTTGTGACTAAACACTTTTGAGTTGCTTGTTTCTTTGTTGTGTGGCGACCTTCCTCCAAGATCCTCTTTTTAAATGCTGTCTTTCTTTTTTCTCCAGTGGCTTCTTTTTCTCCCCACCTTTTCTTCTTGTTAACTTGATGACCCTTGAGAAATTGTCCCGCTTTGGCGCATTATAGATGCAGACGACTTCCCACGACTCTCGTGCGAAAGCCCTCAGCGTCATTGCTGACAGTGCTGACCACGCTGTGTACGCTATTGCACCGAGGCTGCCTTTCTGCAGTTGTGATGATTGCGAGCATACAACATACTGGGTGTCGAAAAACATACTTCTAGTAATAATAAACAATTACTCGTTATCGTAGAATTGTACCTGTTTTGTTAGTTGATTGATTTCATGTTGCTTTTGTATTTGAATGTACGTTAAAGAACTCCAGCTGGTCGAAGTTTCCGGAGCCTTCCACTACGGCGTCACTCAAAATCATGTGGTGGTTTTGAGAGATTAAACCCCACATATCATCAATGTTTGTTTTGTAACACAAATATCTCATCTTTGACCGATTCTGCTAGTACGTGGGATTTTTTTTCAATTATTGTAAAGAAATTTCTGTTATCTTTTTAAATCACTTGTTAAGGCTTCTAACGTATTTAATATCTTTAGAGGAATGATGCTTTTTTACGTATGTCAAGTATTTACCTATCAATGAGAACTAAGAGACGGTAATGCCAGAATAAGTAACGAGGATGTTAGTAGAAGTAATTGTAATGTAAACGTGAAGAAGAAAAGTGCACGAAAAGATCACATGTCGTGGGTAGGACTCGAACCTGCAACCTTCGAATAACGGGCCCGAGCTCTACGTTAGCGGTCATCCCCTCCCCCCCCCCCCCCGTCTCCTTTATAGGGTATATATGTGCTCTTAAACGTTGGAGCGTCAGTCAGTGCCACCTGTTGCCATTACGGCGAGTGTGGAACACTCCTTATCCGCATGTTCGGCGCCACGTAGTACGTGGCATTATTACGAGGTGGCAGCCGATCGATATTCTCTCGCATACTACCTCAAGGCATCAAGTCTGTCTGAAGGAAAGCCTCGCTATGAATGAAAAGAAGTATAAACTTGGTGCTCGTTTTTTTGTTAGATATATTGTATATGAGATCTAACAGACAATAATGCCAGGGAAATGCCAGGGCAAAACTAACAGATAATCATGCCTGGCATTAGCGTCTGCTCTCAATAATATTGTATCTAACGAAGAAAAAAACTAGCCCTTAAACTGACACGTTCCTCCTTTCACCTATCAGTCACACATGTACGGCATTCTGGGCCGCACGAAGCTGTTTCCTCGCAGCTTATTGGCTCAAAGAACCAAAAGGGATATTTGCTCGCAAATTACGAGAAGCGAACTCTCTATCAAATAAATGTACACCATTCTAACGTCACAAACTTAATACTATATCTTACATACAATATACTGGCTTGATATCACAATGTTGAGACAGAACGCCGGGACATGCTTCGGCCACCTATAAACCGGCATAAACAATTGTATCGGGCCAGTTGGTATGAATCCATCTTGGTAGGAAGCACAACCACTATTACACAGAACACACAACACAAGCGCTTGATTGATTGATATGTGGGGTTTAACGTCCCAAAACCACCATATGATTATGAGAGACGCCGTAGTGGAGGGCTCCGGAAATTTTGACCACCTGGGGTTCTTTAACGTGCACCCAAATCTGAGCACACGGGCCTACAACAAACACAAGCGCTTACCTTCAACTAAACGTTTATTGCAAACGTCAGAGTTTATAAAGGGTGTGAAAAAGAAAAAAAAATAATAATAAAAGGTAGTGCACCCTCTATCTCGCTCACGCGATGGGGTGATAATAATGGATAAGTAATGTACGGGACTGGCAAGTGTGCTTTTTGTTGTCTACCTTTTATTAATCTTTTTTTCTCTTTCACACCCTTTATAAACTCTGACATTTGCAATAAACGTTTTGTTGAAGTTAAGCGCTTGTGGTCTGTGTTCTGTGTAATATTGGTTGCGCTTCCTACCAAGAAAGATATAAACCGGCACTTTTTGTTTTGAATTTAACCTGATCCAGTGGAGCTAGCAATGGCTTCGTTTACAGGCAGTCTCCATTTTTCGCAGTGCTCGACGCCTCCGGCAAGTACCCGACCGGGGCCCTGTCGACGACGCGGGTCGACCTGGGCTCCTTCGACGAGTGCGTCGAGACCGTGGTGCACGACGAGTTCGGCCACGAGGCACTACGCGCGCAGTACTGTAACTTGCTGATCTACGCCGGAAACAAGACAGACCTCGATGACCACATCACCAAAGCCGTGATGTTCGCACACCCACGGGTGAGCCTGCAGCTGCTACTCAACTGTCCTTTTTTTTTCAATGCTGCGTTAAAAAGTCTATTCAGAGAGTAAAAGAAAGAGAAGAAAGTTCTTGAGCTTCTAAGAGTAGGCGCCAGAGATTCTCAATGCTGGCTGTATTCTCATATGGCAAACTGCTTTTACGAACAAAAGTTTTTTTTTTCTGAATTATACACTTTCTTTTTGAGGCCTGGTTTCCATTCTGCAATGCAAAACCTTTCTTATTGCTGTTATTTTTTTACTCGCTGCGGCACGTGACTCAGTGGTTATGACCTCCTGCCACTGAGTACGAAGTCGCATATTAGAATCTCAACAAGGGTGGCGCCGTGTAAACAGGTGAAAGTTATAAATACTGTGATTAAAGTTGTTTCCTCCTCTGTGCTAATGTATACCATTAGACGCCTAATGATCCCATGAACTTAAGGTAAGTCCACTAATAAGGAAGAACCAAAATCTATATGCTTTGGAGGTAGATATTTTCTTCTGGTGTTTTTTTTTTTCAACCTTTCTTTTTTTTATTGGTCATGCATGTCCTGGCTGCGCGTGTATTCTATACGCTTTGCACGTATTCACGAAAATATGGTTTTTACGCTATGGTTGTTCATTAGAGTCAATTAATTTTTGCTCTGCATACATATACAGAAGGTGACCAGTCAACAGTAAACAGTAAATACGCACGAACATGCTCGCCACTTTGGCCCTTAAGGATCTCCTATTCAGTTTATTTGACGACCATTGCTGAAAATTTTATTTTACGTGAAAAAAAAAAACGATTTCAGAAAAGCGATAAGCAAACTCGTAGCCGTAGGAACAGCGGACACGTTCTTGTTATATCAGGTACAAAGAAAAAAGATTAAAAAATACGTACGTACAATTCCTAGGTTGCGGCATCTTGATCCGTGTTTGCGAAAAAGGTTCCACCACTAGAATTCTTCGCAAGAACAAGTTTCAAGCAGTCCTGACACTGACCGTATTGTTAATGAAGGTGGTTGGCCAATAGAAAGTAGCCCTTATGGACGGAATGATTAGTAAATTCAACCCAGTCGGGGTGGTCGCATTTCTATGAAGGAACAATGCTAGAGGTCTGTGTCCTGTGCGGTGTCACTGCATGGTAAAGAACACGAGATGGTTGAAATTCCCGAATTCCTCCACTACGACGCCTCTCATAATCATATCGTGGTCTTGGAACGTGAAATTCCTGATATTATTATTAGGCCGCTTAAAGGGTGCGACACCAAGAAATAAAGGTTAATTCAATGTGCTGACACTCTGTTGCGAAAAAGCAAAGGAAATTGTGACATACTATATACAAAGCGCCACTTCTGAGCACGCGAAGGAACTCAAACATGTATTTCGTGAGCAGTAGCCGGAGCTCATGCTAAAAACGTCATCAGCTTGAAAAACTAAAACAAAGAACAAAGTTTACGGCTCACTCTTTTTCATTCAGCATTCCGAGTTCCTCTCTGTGTGCTGAAAGAGACGAAGCAATACCTTGGTATTGCGATTATCAGCCAATACACACCTCATGTCGATACGCCTTACGCATATACGTCTACGTAAACATTTGCACGCGGATTTGTGCGTATATACTGCGCCGCTGGGAGCCTCTAACATGGCGGCTATGCACACAACGGCCTAGAGATGGCAGCAATTTTGCATAAGGTGTATTGACGAATGTTCAACAACAATTGCACACTTTGTGTGACGGAACCAATATCACGTTGCGAGAAACCACTATAGTAGTGCATGGAGCTCCACACACGAAGGCTATCTGCAAGATTGCCCCGATTAGTAAACTTTCGTTCAATTTTCTCTCCACAAATGTTGAGCAATGTCGCATAAGCAATCTGTGCAGTAGCTGAGCTGGCACATTAGCAGTACACTGTTAGATCCGTGGTGGCACAATCGACAAAAAGGAAGACTCGGAAGCGACAGGAAAGAGCGCTGTTCTGCACACTGTCACAAGCACCTCATTTTTGTTGTTGTTGTTGTTGTTGTTGTTGTTGTTGTTGTTGTTGTTGTTGCGGCTCTGTGGATCTAAGAGTTAGGGGTCTACATAGCGCGCAATATAGCCAGGTGTTTCTCATGTGTTTTGTTGCACGAGGGAATTCGGCAGCAGCAATGATTTTTGAACATTTTACGCCTTTTGCATCTGTGCTGGGAATACCACTTACGATGGTCATATATGATAAAATCTCATCACATGCTGTTTAATTACGAAGTTTATCTGAAGTATTGGTTAAACTCTTAGAAACGGCGCAGAAACACTTGTATGCCGTTGTTAGACTTCCCGAGAGGTCTCACTTGTCACTTCCACTGCCATGGGGTTAGAGTGGTTATGATGCTGGAATGCTGACCATAAGGTAGCGGGATCGAATCCCGGCTGCGGCGGCCACATGTCGGTAGAGGCGAAACTCTGGAAGCTCGTTGTTATGATCGGCCTTCCTGGCTTGCCACCGCTTGGACGCGTGAGACATTGCGGCTTAGCCTACCCTGGTTTCTACCGGGTCAGCACTCTTAGGGATGCTCCATAAGCAGCGACAACACGGCAGCAGTATACTTGGAATGTTCCTGCGCACTCGGCTCCCTCGTCAAAAACCCTTTGCATTCGCCCGTCCGACTGACGTTTTAGGAAAAGCTGTGGGCAGTCGAGGCTGCTTGCTTTGTTCGACGTCCTACGAGACGTGCCAAACAATTAGCCGACAGCTTGGGACCGGTCGTCTGGTGCGTTTCTCCCGCACTCCGTGGTGTCTTCATGACGACCGTTTTCCACAATCCATGGCCTGACCGGCGCCGCAGGGCCTATCGAGGAGTCACCACTAAGCCTGACCTCACAGTTGACCTGCACGAAGGACCCAATGTCTTCGCGCTGTGCTGGGTCGAGCGCAATGTGCTGTGTTTTCTCCCTTTCCATGGGACGAACTGGGCGGGCCTCTTCTCTTTTTTGCGAGGTTGGGAAGTATGGTGGTGTTTCACCTTCCCCTTTTGGGGGCGGAGGTAAAGAAGACGGCAATTCCATCGGACTGTTCTCGCATCAATTGTTGTCCCTGCAGGGAATCATGGGAAGACCAGGGCATAAAACGCTAGCGGCGAGACGCTGCCGACATGATCCCAGAAGCTTCCATCAAGTATCAATCGAGAGCTTCGATGATGTTACCGTACATCTTGTAACAATGTACGCCACCATCAAAATGTAAATAATAATTAAATGTTCCTGTTAACAGCTCCGGCTACTCTCCTCGACATCTCCCGAGGCTTTGGCTGGCGCCGGTTCCATGGGCAGAGCCCCGACTACATCATCGTGTACTTATCCTGGAGTGCACGTTAAAGAAATTGTGATGGTCAAAAATTTCTGCAGTCTTCCGCTGCTACATCCCTCATAATTACCGTGGTTTTGGGGTGTAAAAACCTATCAGTTAAAATGCTATATTACTTGTCACTTTAAAAAGCAAAAATAAATGTAATGTCAGTTAATTAATTTTTAATGGTTAACTGTCATTGCGCTAACTTATCCCATCCCTCTAGCCATGTAGGCAATAGGGGCAATAACCCGTGTGCATTAGGATTTGTTCTTTCAAATGCCAACTATGATAAAACTAGTGCGCCCGTTTGAGTACGACTTCTGAGATGATAGAAAAATCCTGGCAACGTTTTGTGGCCTTTGAAGTCGTGCCTTTACATGCTAAGTGATTCACGTCATACATGGTGAGGTATGGCAATATTTTTTTCACAAATACATTCGCTAACTCTTTTTAACCAAGTTAACCAAACGAAACCTTATTGGAATTCGAAGTGCTAACTACAAAGAACAACACCGATGTTATTTTGTACTAACTACTCATAATACTCGCGCCACCACTTCTCTTTCATTTAGATGCCCCGCCGCGGTGGTCTAGTGGCTGAGGTACTCGGCTGCTGACCCACAGGTCGCGAGATTGAATCCCGGCAGCGGCGGTTGCATTTCCGATGGAGGCGGAAATGTTGTAGGCCCATGTGCTCAGATTTGGGTGCACGTTAAAGAACCCCAGGTGGTCGAAATTTCCGGAGCCCTCCAGTACGGCGTCTCTCATAAGCATATGGTGGTTCTGGGACGTTAAACCCCACATATTAATCAATCAATCTTTCGTTTTGGTGTTTGCTCTGGTTTACCGCATCTCCTATGAAGGTACTTTGTTGTCCCCGTTTGACCCGAGCCAACCTTTTCTTTCCGCGGAATTCACTGAATGACGCCCCGGCGACCTTTCATTGTAAAATAGCGAGAGTTTTCTTGTCTACTTCCTATAACAAGGACTGACCTCTGCTGACTTTGGGCGTGGCTAAAGAAACGACGGCTCGCTATAAAGACGGGAAATTTTAGGCAATGTGGGCGTTCACTCGCGCATACGTCACCAACATACTTCACTATAGTTTAACACTGTCTCTTTTCATAACTTTCCTCCAAGCTTTTTCTCTCTCTTTCTCATTTACAAACATGAACTTTTTTTCATTGTATGCGCATAAATTATGTTCATTTGTTCTTTATTCCTGTCATTCTCTTAATCTGCGTTCATCTGATCAGGGGTTCAAAGCCCATCACGAAAATTTGCACTAAGCCGGTACACTTCACGTGGTAGTTCATTGGCAGTAGCCTTCCGCTACAAGATGGCATGGATTTGAGTCCCAGCTACGACGACGGTATCTTGACTGAGCCGAAATGCAAGGACGCTCGTGAACACACGCATAGGACACACGTTGAAGAACGCCAGGCAGTCGAAGTTTGTACCGAGCAACCCACCACGGCGCGCCGCACAATCTAATTCTGCCTGAATCACGTATACAAACTCTGCAATTACTTTTCAAGTTATAATGACGCAGGCGTAGTGTATATTATATTAAATGTTTCGTCAACATTTCAATATGACATGGGAAGACAACGCCAGTGCAAACTCTGACATGGCTCCGTGTACGCTATATAATGAGGTGTATTGAACAATATTTGCGCA